AATATATTTAGGCGATACGCTGGTGTTCTAACCACTTTTTTCCAGAAGTGTAAGCGATACTGCTCAGATCTATCCTTATTACTCTAAATATATGTTTTTTTGTTAAACTTCCTCGTCTCAAGATATCAATCAGAATCAGAAACGGGTTTATTGCCAGGTAGGTTCACACGTACGAGGAATTTGACTTGATGTCATGGTGCATAAATACAAATTTAAAACAAACATTAAAAAAAGTACACAGATAGTGAACTATGTTAAGAACACTGTCATACAATTATAGTAAGATAGCAATAAAATAAAGCAGTAATTTACATCGAAATAGAATGCAATCAATTATAGAATATAAAATATGTGCAATAAGCAATATTTAAACATTGTGTGCATTAATGTAATGCATATAGAGTCTGTATAGCCAAATATACCACTCATCTCAGTATTAAAGTCTACTCCCCATAAANATGTTGACTGAAACCGTACCCTTATCGTCCTCCCTTCCTATAGTCCCCACACCATAGGACACCTTATTCTTGGACTGAGTAAGTTATTTTACGCCAATCCCTGAAACACGGCTGACCACGTAACAATATGTCAAAATGGAGTGTTACTGTTCCTTAAAAATTAAGGATTTACACATATGTGGGATACTTACGTAGTCTTTACTTCTACTTATTAGATTTATCCGACGAAATTATTAAGGAAATAAGTTTTGTATGAATAAGAAAAACATACAGTAACCCCTATACGTCTATAGAGTCTGTCCTTGAGTAATAAACGGTTCGTATACCGAGTCAAGACAGTGCTATTTGTGTTAATATAACAGTTCGTCCACGAAAACGGCCGTCTATCAAATATGAATTTATATCACTCGGACCGTATGATGGCAGTACCGAACTGGTAACATAATCATGTCGACTACGCGTACGAAGTGAACTCACATACTTCGTAAGACATACCCTGTCGTTGCTGACTAGTATATGGACAACGATACAAGTTATTTACAGCTTGTAGATGGACCCGATTGGTCTTTACATTTATCACCAAGTTTGTCCTTTTGATCTGACCAGTTGGGAGTGTTTCCTTTTTGTAATGTAGGATAATACGAGTCTGCGTATGTAGGAATTGATATAAGTAGATGGAATCTCTACGTTAATACACATCACTACCAATTAAAATCCTTCCTACGTTTCGTATCCTAACTATAGACGAGGTACATGTTACTATATCATTCACGGAGACATTACTTCCATCATTCGGAATGATCATGTTTGTAATTGTTATTTTGTGTATTGTAGTCCTGACCGACCTTATCCATACATCGACTCATAGCACGACTTCGGATGTGTGTGTACTTCGGGTGATTTTAGGTACCGATACCGTCCGTCTGGGTCTGTTCCCAGACATAAACTCATGTTCTTTGAATGATTAACGTTCTATGTTATACGATAACGAAGTAGACATTTTTACTCGTTCGATACTCCGCGGCTAAGGTACGATTCTTCGGACGATTCATGTTACGATAACTAAAAACCTTTCTTCAATCCCAATAATTATTGACGGTTTTATAGAGTGTGGTACGTGACTCATTACCTTGTAGGCTGTCTGTTATAACGCCTCAATACCGCTGTCGAATATCATGGAATGTTGGACACGGTTTCACTTGACATATTGTCCTCTACTTACAACTATCGTTACTAAGTTAACCAACTATGTACAGTGTACTCCACAGTGGTTCGATATTTGTTCGACAGACTATTTTTCGTTCACCCACATCTAGTATAAAGACGACTTGTAGAATTTATACGGTCATACTTCTATCGAAGGAGAGGAAAGATAAACGAAATGAACGGAAATACTAGTACCGACACCTGGTCTGAGTTGCAACAGACAGACAATCACGGTCATATAATTCCCTGTTTCGGCATATTTAACCCTTCGGATCTAGTTACCAAAGAGTTTGAAAGTATGGTTCCTGGTGAATTGGTTATTTTTTTGGAGCGTCTGGTGGTTGAGGTGTTTATAGGTTTTGTGTACACAAAAAGATTCTTGTCTAATGTTTTACCATGTTTGTTACCGTTGTACACACTACTGTCGCACAACGGCGACCCGATATACTACGTTAGGCTTTGAATTCGAGCGAGGTAACGCCTTATAAACGCGCTCTCACGCCTTTTGAATTTTAAATTAAGATAAATAATGTTTACACTTTAAAATGGTTATATAAGTTGCCTGGTTATCCCCGCGAGTGCCTGGTGGCAGGCGCCTGGTGGTGAAACGCTTCTGTGACCATTGATATCCGGTATACCGCAATCGTCGTCATGACACTTTTTTCAGGATCTTTCTTAAGACGACCTGTCTAATTTACTGAAATAATTGGGTGTCTATTTGTCAACCGAAATTCCGATTTGTACCGTGACTGAACACATGGCGGAATTTCTTTACCATTGTTTATATCTCCCATTATTGAGTAGTCAAGAATACACAAAGTAACTACGAAGATTTCGGAAACTAGCACAATTAGTATCTTCAATAAAAAATTTTGACTTTAGTTTTGCTCCCCACGGGGTTATGTAACACTCGTAAGACAGATGACTCCGGGGTCGCACGTAACATTTTACCCCGTTATCCCCAGGAGTCGGGGTAAACCAATCGTTACCACAGCTGTTCCACCTTACTACAGTGGGTCAGCAAAAATTAGAAACATAACTTACTAGGCACGGGTTTCGCTGACTTTCGGACATTATGACCTACGAACTAACCACATCTGAGATTCACTACGTATAATACATACGTCTAACATACACGACTAGGTAGATCGTGACCAGAGTCGTCGATGATTTACAAACAAGACACATACATACACCTTGACTGCATTTTATGTTCTCACAGATTCTTTCTCATTCTACTATAGTACTAGAAATCTTTGGTTGTCTATCCTATTACACCAGATTGTAATACGACTAAATTTAACAGACTATAATCAGTCACGTACATGTCATTTACTCATTTTATAGACAAGCCCGTATGAAATAATATCGTAAAACACACAAAGTTTGATGTCATTTTCGTTCAATGCCTTTGAAGTTCTCGAAATATACAATAGGTCATCATAACGACTATTACTAGGCATACCAATTACGTTCACTTTACAAACACGACGTTCCTCAGTTAATGAAGAGTATACGCAAAATATCTTTATGAGTACTATATTTACATAAACGGCCGAAAAAAAATACGAAACACATACATTAAATAATATTAATACATTAGCAGAACAGAAAATAGACCTGGGACTGAGACATTATTTACAATACTAACTAGACTGGCTGTGTAACAAAACACAGAGAGACACTCCATTAATAGATAGTATGTCACTTCTCTGACTGAAACCTATGATAATAACTTGACCATTGACGTAGTTATGGGAAAACAAAATAGAATCTTTTTCCCCATGGAAAACAAATTATATTATATAAAATTATAACAACTCATGAAGCAACATAATGCATATATCTTCCAATTTGCTTTCAATGGGGGAGGCATAGTAGTATTGAAAGAGTTCAGTTTTTCCAAATCTCGCTTCGCTAAAAATGTCTCTTGCATACATAGTGTGTCACATTTCTCAAGAAAGTTGTCAACTACAATGCGGCGAGCTTTATCCCCTGCGCTCTGGCCCATACGAAGGCCACGACAAAACCCGAATAGTCATTTAGCGAGACAAGTGAGTGCCCATAGCACCAGCAGGCACACTCATTCCCCCCGCAGTAGGTGCAGTGTTTGAGCCGATAATTCCCGCTCTGCGTGGCTAATAATATCGCCGGACAAGTGCCACTTCTGGCCAGATCTCCGGATTGTACATTTAGCTGACCTCATTGCATTCAGCAGATACTTTAAATGAACCGTGAAATGAAAGCTTTTGATGCAGTATACAATAATGTTCAAATTAAAAAGTTATCCAAAGTAAAATGCTCATCAAATGTAATGAAATAGATAAAATCATACCTCACAGACAGACACAAAGAATGTGTCGGTCTAGAAAATGACACCTCACAAATGTTGTTGTTAATGATGTTGGTGTACCTCAAGGTTTAACTCTGGGTCCTCTGTTATTTAGTTTGTATGACCTTCCTAAGATTGTCCACCTGTCAGCAATAAGCTGATGATAGGGTCATATATCTAAAACAGGGGTGCCCAATACGTCGATCGACCGGTCGATCGCAAAGGTAGTGTGGATAGATCTTATGGCATTGAAAAAAAAAAGTTAGCCTATCATCCATCCTTACTACGGCATTTACCACTTGATTGACGTACAGGTAAGCCAGTCTGAGATCTCATCTTTTCTAACACGCAGTTCACCAAGCCAGCTGCAAGTCACCGGCAAGCTGATTACCTAGTTAGCCTTCCAATTTATACAATTCTACTAAAGAAAGGGTATACAATTGACATAATGACCAAAAATGTACTGAGTTGTATTGTGCCATACAGGTTCATGCAGTTATGCAAGGTACACCAACATAAGGTATACTCAGCAGTGTTTCCCATACATCGATTCATTTGTGGCGGGTCGCCACAATTAAATATCGTCCGCCAATAGAATCAAATTCTGTGGGAAACACTGCTCAGTGTATATAAATAAATATATGTTTAGCATTTTTAATGTTGGTAGATCATTTTGACTTGGTCATTTTAAAAGTAGCTCCCAAGCTGAAAAAGTGTGGGCACCCCTGATCTAAAACATTAGGGGTGTTGAAATTAAACATTTCTACGATGCATCGCGATGCGGACGTGGACGATTCTGAATCGATGCAGTGACAGAACATAATCGATTATAGCGTAGTAACGTTGCTTCCTGATTTTCCGGCCGCGGCTTTACAATAAAGTTTTTTTATTTTCAGATTGAAATTACCCTTCATGGCTAAATCTGGCATATTTTACAGTCCACCAATAAATGCTATTTTTACTTTAAATATATATTAGTCATTACATTTTTCTCTCACTCTCAGGGCTACACTAAGTCCATAGACATCTGGTCAGTGGGCTGCATTCTGGCCGAGATGTTGTCCAACAGGCCAATCTTTCCTGGGAAGCACTACTTGGATCAGCTCAACCATATTTTGGGTAATTATTGTTTTTATTTCCTGTGTTTTTAGGACAAGTGTTTCAACGTTGTTGTTTTAAAATGTCTACGAACCCAGCAGAACTTCTCTGGGTTATCCTTTTAATTCTAATATTATCAGTACATTTTAGGTTAACGATGCTTGGCTATTGGTCAGGGGAAGAAAACCTGAATCAGCAGCCATAGTCTGAATAGTTCACACTTAGTTAGTACCAATAGCTTCCTGGTGCCACTCCATAGATTTTGTAGCTGTTAATATTCAATAATTTAGCTGTACTTTTTGGTGCTAGACCACATATTGCTTGTCCCATCTGTCCTTTTGTGTTTCCTTCAGACTGTTAAGTACTCAAAACTTTAAGCAAGGGCTGTTTTAATGTAGCAGTTTAACTGAGATTTGTGAACTGAAACAATGAGTTATTTTCTAAAATCTTCTTTGTTCTTCAGGAATCCTGGGCTCTCCCTCTCAGGAGGATCTCAACTGCATCATCAACATTAAGGCCAGGAACTATCTTTTGTCGCTGCCTTTACGCTGCAAAGTGCCGTGGAACCGCCTCTTCCCCAACGCTGATCCCAAAGGTGAGAGCCAGGGCAAACTTGTAATCGCTTAAAACGTTGCCTCTGATCATGGAATTACTAGAATTGTATTATAATTAAGAAAAAAACATTTACCCACTACTAGCACAGCAGTCTGGCAAAACAAGTGGCAACGTTTGGAGATGGGAAACTAGAGGCATTGATTGTGGTTTCAAGGTACAAAACTACAATATATGTAGATTATTGAGATTTTAAACATGCAGAAGCTGAAGAAATAAACTCTCAGGAAGCTCAGAATTGAGTTAAAATAGCTATACTTTTTAAATGAGTGAAAGTAAGTCTCTTACTTATATACTTGGTAATAATATGTTAACCATTTAGGGCTTAATGGTGCCCTCTAGTGGGCTAGCATTGATGTTTCAGATGAGATAAACCTTTATTAAAGGAGAGGTGTCATGGCCATTTTCACTGATGATAATTCCATTGTTGAGGTATACTAAAATAGAAAAATACTCTGCAATTTTCCAAACTCACATTGGTGTCGCATACAGCATCTCTGTAAAGTATGTGTATTCAGCAGTATTCACTTTCTCCACTAAACGGCTCGCTGCAGCTCCCCCCCCCCCCCGTGATTTCCTTGTTTAGCGATACACAGCGAAACACAGCCAAACTCAACCTGAACACACACAAAGTCACAGCCGAAATAAAAACAATAAGTGTGGCTTGATATTGAGTAAGAAAAAGGTTTATAGGTTGATAAACGCTGTGAGAATGGGTCTGCAGAGAGAATTTTGCCGCGATCCCAACTGTCTGTTATCAGCCTGCAGCCAGGGAGCAGAAATCAGCAGAGCTGCCTGCACTGAGTGTGTGTGTGTGGATTGGTCAATTTGGACCAATCAGCGGGGGCTTAACGTAACGGCTCCGCGGACATAACGTAAGGGCTCCACGGACTGGCCCATTTAGTTCCGGGTACGTGCTTTTGTAAGCACGTACCCGGAAGAATCAAATGGAAGATGACGTTTCACCAACGAGGCGTTTTGGGGAGGTATTTTCTGTGTTAGAGTTTTACTCGCTACAGGGTGTACTTTAAGGGTTTTGACTCTGCACACCGTTTACATGCAGAAAAACCTTCATAACACACAAGGGGATGGGTAATAACCGGAAAAGCATGACATGTCACCTTTAATACCAGAGGGGAAAAGTGATTTTTTTTATATGGGGGTCAAGCCTTTGTTTTTTGTGGCGCCTTGGTCAAAGAGGAGTGTCCGAGGTTTAGGGACCTCTTCCTGCTCCCCTAGTGATCCACCACTGGCTCTTTGGTCTTGCTAATGTTGATCTGGAGGTGCCTGTTTTTACACCACCCTACAAAGCTCTCCACCAGGAGAACTGAATCAAGGGTTCTCCTCTTTGTGCTGCAGCTCTGGACCTGTTGGACAAGATGTTGACCTTTAACCCTCACAAGAGGATCGAGGTGGAGGAGGCCCTGGCGCACCCTTACCTGGAGCAGTATTACGACCCAACAGATGAGGTGAGAAAGTCGTCAGTTTGTGCTATATAGGACTATTGGAATGAGGACACTTAATCTTGTTTTTACCACAATGTAAGTTTGTTGGCGTCTGTATCACCCTGTCCTCTCCGCCTCCCTGTGTAGCCTGTTGCAGAGGCCCCATTCAAGTTTGACATGGAGCTGGATGACCTACCCAAAGAGACACTGAAGGATCTCATCTTTCAAGAAACTGCACGTTTCCAGCTCGCATTTAGGTCCTAACATCTCAAACAGGTGAGTCTACATTCCATGCAATCAAGTTTATAACCTGAAAACGTACATAAAGAGAGGGGCAGTGTGTAAAACTACAGGTGCATTACACAATTGCAATTAGCTACATTAAAGTCTTGAAACATTCAACTTTTAAAATGTGACACTCCTCGCCTCTGCTTTAAAAAGGTCGCACAGTTGAGGGTCCATCAGGAAAACTATTTTAAATACTAATACTGCAGGTGAGTTGTGTTACAGCTTTAACAACTACTGATTTAATATGTGTTTGATTTTACAACTCAACGCTCAAGTGCTAAAGTGAGGATCTTGCATTACAGTATAATATAGATTTAAATGTTGCTTTTATAAAGTGTAAAATGTAAGTTTTCATGAAGATAAAGGCACTTGAAAAACATCTATTATACTTAATGGTGTAGTACACCATTAAGTATAATAGAGTTTTTTCGGACATTTTTAAGGAAACAAAAATGATGGAGAATTGATTCGGAAGCATCAGAGATGTTTATGGCATTTAATCTGCACTCGCAAAAATATCAAAAATGTTCCAATTTAGCTATATTACCATACATTGTGGCTTTTTTTTATGTAAAAAAAAAAAGGTAAAAGTATTTTAAAATAAAATGACACTTGAGCAAAAGCGATAAGAGATAACCCAAACATTTCTCAAACTAGCCATATTCTTGATGCCCACCCATTCTCTGCTAACCACCAGCTGCTCCCTGAAAGGCCTCTTTTTGTGATAATAACCATCCTTGCTGCCTTTTACAGCATATCATTCACCGTGTGTCAGCGTATGTAATTACTGTATTTCCTGTGCAGCAATTCGATGCATAACAAAAGTCTACTGAAAAGCAAAAGAGTGTGACATCTCCTTAATTAGAGCAGCACAAAGCTGCTCTGCAAAGGCAACAGTTTGATTGTTTGTGCAACTTTAAAATGTATTTTCAAACCCAATGCTCTTATGTCAGTATCTGTAATATGTTCTTGTATATCAAATGCTGCAATATAACAAATTTCCCCTTAATGGGATCAAAGTAGAAGCAGAAGGTGATTTTACATTTATTTCAAATATAAAATACCTGTAAATGGTTTATTAAAGAAATGGAATATTCTTGCTGGCAAGAACACCTTCTTCATAGTTGAGGGTTGGGACTCTAAAAGGTTCAGAAGCAAGGCCCAGTATCATATTTAATACGCAGAGGCAATACATAGTGCATTTTAAAAAATGAAACAGGAAACAACACCAGCAAATGCTATTGCAACCATTTCAAATAATAAGAAACAGAAATACCAGACGGGAAATGTATATATTTAATAATGTTCTCTCATGCTTTGCTTCCGCTTATTACGCTGCTACTTAGTACATATTGATTTATAAATTACCGTATTCCCAGCTAGACATTTTTGTTTCTGAAAACATTCTGAGAATGTTACATTCATTGTTCTAGGAATGTTTTCAGCGGGAAGTTTTCTTTTGTTCCCAGAACGTTCTTCTGAAAGGTAGGATAACGTTCTCTAAAAACATTCTTAAAATGTATGGTGATAACCTTCTTAAAATGTTTTTGATAACATTGTTAGAACATTATGCCCTAATATTCTTAAAACGTTTTCATCAGAAGCTTTTATTTTGGTTCCCAGAATGTTCTTCTGAAAGGTAGAATAACGTTCTTTAAAAACATTCTTAAAATGTTTGGTGATAACCTTCTTAAAATGTTTTTGATAACATTGTTAGAACATTATGCCCTACTATTCTTAAAACGTTTTCAGCAGAAGCTTTTATTTTGGTTCCCAGAATGTTCTTCTGAAAGGTAGGATAATGGTCTCTAAAAACATTCTTAAAACGTTTTTGATAACATTGTTAGAATATTATGCCCTACTGTTCTTAAAATATTTTCAGCTGCAAGTTAGACTTGTTTATGTTGCCAGAATGTTATTGTTTTAGAGAAGGATAACATGCTTTATGTTTAAACATTATGCAAATGTTCTGTGGTAACCATCCATCCATCCATCTTCTCCCGCTTATCCGTGGTCGGGTCAAGGAGGTAGCAGTTCCAGCAGAGAGCCCCAAACTTTCTTTTCCCTGGCCACATCAACCAGCTCTGACTGGGGGATCCCAAGGAGCTCCCAGGCCAGCAAAGAGATATAATCCCTCCACCTGCTCCTAAGTCTACCCCTCAGTCTCTTCCCAGCTGGACGTGCCTGGAACACCTCCCTAGGGAGGCGCCCAGGTGGCATCCTAACTAGGTGCCCGAACCACCTCAACTGGCTCCTTTCGAGGCGAAGGAGGAGCGGTTCAACTCCGAGTCCCTCCCGGATGACCGAACTTCTCAGCCACCCTGCGGAGAAAACCCATCTCGGCCGCTTGTACCCGCGATCTCATTCTTTCGGTCATGACCCATCCTTCATGACCATAGGTGAGGGTAGGAATGAAAATGGCCCGGTAGACAGAGAGCTTTGCCTTCTGGCTCAGCTCCCTTTTCGTCAAAACGAACACCCCCGGGGCTTTGCCACTGTGAAGTTGTATGACGACCTCAGTGACCTCCCCCCGGGAGATTGGTGTCGATCCCCCGTCATACTCCAGCTCTGCCTCTAACATAGAGGGCGGAGTTGTCGGGTTCAGGAGTTCCTCAAAGTGTTCCTTCCAACGCCCTAACACTCCATCACTTGAGGTCAACAACGTCCCATCCTTACTGTACACAGCTTGGATGGTTCCCTGCTTCCCCCTCCTGAGGTGTCGGACAGTTTTCCAGANCACTCTAATCAATATTAATCAAACTATTGTTCGTTTATACATTTTAAGAATGGCGTTTATCTTTTTTGAGAATGAGTTCTTATTTTATTTTATTTATTGGGGTCTACAACAGATGATACAAATGTTTGTGTCAGTAAATGTGTGGCGGGGGTGTTTGTGAAAACAACGGGGACAGAGCATGGGACAGAGCTGGCTGCTGTCAGACGATGCGGCGTCATCACAAACGGACGTCGCTTCACGTGACGCTCCGGAGGAAAGGACGTCCCATTGCTCTTAAAACTCATTTCCCTGCTTCTCGTGGTTTCCTTGCGTCCCTCCATGCTTCCCTGGTGGGAGGGACTAAACGCAGGGAAACGACGCAAGTGAGGGAAGCAAGGATTTAATTTAACCGACCTGAGACGGGGCCACAGACTGATCCAGATTTGAACACTTTTCTGACGTCAGGACGGTGGCGCTACGGCTATTGGGCCAACTCCACCAATCAGGAGGAGACAGCCACGGACATTGCCGGTCGAAAGCGCGGGAGACGCTGTAGTACATATTTCAGGCCACCAGATGGTGCTGTTCTCACTGAATCCGAGGATGAAAGGCAGTGAATTGAGCGAAATGAGGAATGGATCAAATGCATGATCTGTTTGGTATTTTGAAAAATAAAACTTATAAATATACCTTATATAGGTATGGCCCTACAATATATTATTCAAATAAAGCATGATATGTCCACTTTAAGTTCAATTTCAAGTAACCCTAGCCCTAAGAATGATGAATTACTGGTATTGGAACTTCTACTTTTATCTTTCATATTTGATGCATGCTTCTTAGTTAATAATCTATCTTTTGGCAACAAAATATGAAAATAGTAGTATAGATAATAGTGTATCTATGGCACAACAAGCCTTAATGTTAATTAAGACGTTACTATCTCACTCGTAGTAGTGTGATGTAGTGGAATGCCACAGTGTCCTCTAGGGAGCACTGTTGTACCAGCTATAACATCTACTGCAGTCTGTCCTTTGTCCATTCAGCAGTGTGATTCATAAAATAATGTCATTCACTTTATGTTGCCTGCAAAATATTAAAAGGTTCAGTTTTCAATAAATTGTTGACACATGGTAATCCTCTGTCTTTAAAAAAAGAATAACAAATAATTAACCTGCTAAATCTACAAACATGAATACCAATGTGTGCCATTTGCTTTACAAACGCTTTATAAAAAACAAAAAATAAATACAGTTAAATAAGAAAGTTAAGGAAATGCAATCAAGATTAAATAATAATATATTTGTGAGCAGTAGGCTATTCTGAAAATAAGATTGTAACCCTGACAATTATGTATCATTCATCTACAGTACAAATGTATATTTAAAAATAATCAACTGTATTGATTTAAGGGGTTTGTTTACTTGACCTTCTTGACCACGTGCTTTTAATGCGGCCACGCATGCGCGCTGTGGGAAACTGGCTTTTGTCACGCGTATCGGTTGCGCGCACAACCAAAACAAACCTAGCCACGCGAGCGCGCTGTCGAGCGTCTGGCTTTGCGTTGATTGGCTGTGGGTGTGTAGCCCCGCCTTTAATCTCAACGGATTAGCCCGATTGCAAAAAACAAGGATCGCATATTTGAAAACTAGAAAGAGGTTCTTCTACAAAAAAGAAACGCCACTAAGTATGACTGGAGTTGTGTTCTGCTCACTTCACTGAGAGGTTTGGAATCGGGCCGGACTCGAGATTCTCCCTCTCGCTGATTGGTGGCTATTTGTAGAAGCGGCTGTGTAGCTAGGCTGCTGATGCCTTCACATACCTCTACAAAGATAAGAGATGTTAGAGATGAAGACCTGCTTTCAGTTGTTTTGGTCGGAAGTTACAGCTGAAAGGCACCCAGCAGCCGGAGTGTTTAACCTTTAAGAGGCTCTAAGATAGGCTACACGATGAGTCAAAGTTGAATACTGAAGCACACGATAATAAGGGGAGGAGATTGACTTTTTAACAGGTTATCAACTGTTGACATGGCATAGGCCTACATGATTTTTCCTCCTATCGTTATAACAAAAAAACATGAAATATCCACGTAGGCCTATAGTGGTGACAAAGTATATTCAAAAGTTTACAAACCCCCCTTTAAGCCTGAAATACACGTGTACAGTTAACACTATAAATATCTAATGAAATCATACTGCAAACTGTAATCTACTTTGGCTGATTCGTTCTTTGTCCCATGCTGAATGTTTCATCATAGGCCTACTTGCTATAAATAACCCAGACTTACAACTAAAAGATCCCAA